GTTTTTTTTTTTTTTTTTTTTTTTTTTTTTGGCAGAACCAGGAATGGAACTCAGGCTCTTGAGCTTGGTAGGCAGGCACAGTGCCACTGAGCTGTATCCCGAACCCTCTCAAAGCCTTTGCAGTCATCTACACCCTTGGCTCTTTTTTTGTTTGTTTGGTTTTTGTTTGTTTGAGACAGGGTCTCACTTTGTAGCTGAGGCTGACCTGGAACTCACTATGTAGCCCAGGCTGGTCTCGAACTCACAGCGATCCTCCTGCCTCTGCCTCCCGAGGGCTGGGGTTACAGGCATGCGCCACCACGCCCAGCTCCCCTTAGCTCTTTTTAAATTTTTTATTTTGATACAGGGTCTCACTGCATTGCCCAGGTTGGGCTTGAAATTGTGATCCTCCTGCCTCAGCCTCCCAGAGCTCTGGTATTATAGGTGTGCACAATCACGCCCAGCACGGATGACTGCTTCACCCCTGGCTGTGCGTGCTGTGTGACCGATGCTGCTGTCTCTCTTCTCATTCCCACGTCAAATCACTTCGGCGGGGCTGCTCGCAAGTGAGGGTGGGGAGCGTTACACCATCGAAGTCGGACACTGCACTTTGGGCTTTGTTTTATTGTTTGTCTAGATTCAAGAACATGGTGAAAAAACTATAATAATGCAAATTAATCTTTATGTTCTGAGACAGGATTACTCTATGTAGTCCAGACCGGTCTTGAACCCAGTGTGGCCCTTCTGCCTCAGCCTGTCAGGTGCTGGAATTACAGGCGTGCACCATCACACCTGGCTTGATAAGTACTGTATGTCCTATGATTGCTGTACATCTCTTATATCCATACAACTTAGAAAACATATTCTCGGGCCAGGGATTTAGCCCAGTGGTTCCACTGCCTGCCTTGCAAGCGCAAAGTTCTGAGTTCTATCCCTGGCACCAACAAACAAACAAACAAACCAACAAAAAGCATGTTCCCCTTCCCTCCTGGATGGCTGCTGTTAAACCTCTTCTGGAGCTCACCTAATTCATGAAAACTCTGTAACTCAGGTGCCTTCATTTGGGTTCCTAGAAACAGGCGCCAAGACAGGAGCTCAAGCCCAGGAAGTGTTTCTGGCCTCAGAGTTCTGGAGAGGGGGGCGGCGGTCAGCAAAGCTGGTTGTCAAGGAGATCACCGCCTCGGACCCCCGTGGCTCCTTCCTGGGGCTGGAGGGCTGGGGTGGGGAGCTCGGCCATCCTCCAGCAGGAGGAAGCTGGGTCCCGGGACTCCCCTTCCCGCCCGGTTCCCACAGCCACGCCCACCCCCACTCCACCCTGTGGGTGCTTCCTGTTCTCACACTGTGCCTTTCCAGGAAGCCTTCCTGGGCCGCTGCCACCGCCGCCGCCGCTCCTCCCCCTGCCCTCAGCGGGGGACAGAGAACGTGCTGGGCTTGGCTGCCCTGCTCCGTCAGACTGGACAGGCCCGGGGCGAGGGCCTAGTAGTCCCCTGCCCCTGCTGTCGGGGCTCAGCTCACAGAGGTGAGGGGCCGGCTGCCCCTGGAGATCGGGCCCTGGGCAGTGGGGGGCTCTGTGCTGGGTCCCCACCCTTCAGGGCCTCATACGGACGCGGGACACCAGGGTGGCGTTGCAAACTCACTGACAGCATCGCCTGGCTTCGCGCCCTGCAGCACCCGCAGCTCCTCAGGATGGAGGCTGCCACCCTCCCCGACGTCGTCCTGGCCTCTGCCCCTAACCTCATCAGTTAGCTGGCGTAGCTCACCTGCAGGGTCCGGATGGTCAGGGCTCCTCCGGAGACGTCCACTCGGAGCCCGGCCGGGCTGACTGCCGTTTCTCTGTGCCCACCAGCCACCTCCCCCCAATCTTCCCTGTCCATCTGTCCACTCGTTACTGTCCGGCCGATTGCTGTCTCTGCCACTTCATGCTTCTTCCTCCCATCCTTTCACAGATCCATCCACTCATCCATCCATCCGCCTGTCCACCCATCCATCCATCTGCCTGTCCACCCGTCCATCTGCCTGTCCATCCACCCATCCTTCCGCCTGTCCATCCATCCATCCGCCTGTCCATCCACTCATCCATCTGCCTGTCCACCCGTCCATCCATCCATCCGCCTGTCTGTCCATCCATCCATCCATCCGCCTGTCCACCCGTCCATCCATCTGCCTGTCCACCCATCCATCCGCCTGTCTGTCCACCCATCCATCCACCTGTCCACCCACCCATCCATCCACCTGTCCACCTGTCCATCCGCCTGTCTGTCCAACTGTCCATCCACCTGTCCACCCGTCCATCCACCTGTCTGTCCATCCATCCATCCACCTGACCACCCGTCCATCCGCCTGTCCGTCCACCCATCCATCTGCCTGTCCACCCGTCCATCCGCCTGTCTGTCCATCCATCCATCCACCTGACCACCTGTCCATCGGCCTGTCCGTCCATCCACCCACCCGTCCATCCACCCGTCCAATCTGTCCATCCCTCCCTCCATCCACTCTTCCGTATTCCTTCTTCCTCCTGCACCGTGACTTCCGTCCTTTTCTCCCTCTGTTTTCTGTCTTTCCCTGAGCATCTGCTTCACGCCCCACAGTCAACAGGAACCCTGTCTCCAAGCTACACGCTGAGCAGACGCTTGCTCCCGAAGAACGTGAGGGACTTGAGGAAGGAGAGGACATTCGCGGGCATCCAGGCTGTGGCTGAAGGATGCTGGGGAGGCGGGGGCGGCGAGGGGCCTCCTGGCCTGTCTGGACCTCGCTTCGGTGGGGCATCGTGGGTCACGGGCCGCAGAACTTGAGCTGTTCTGTTCCTGTCTGGGGAGCTGCTAGGCTTGTGAGCCAGTCTATTGCCGGACGGGCCGCAGAACTTGAGCTGTTCTGTTCCTGTCTGGGGAGCTGCTAGGCTTGTGAGCCAGTCTATTGCCGGACCTCGGCCTCCTGCCCTTCGTGCTCCTCACAGCCTGATGTGATTCCCAGGTGCAGACGCAGAGCCCTCAGTCTTCTCACCCTGCCTGGCTCAGCACCCTGGGTGACACTGCTACCTACTTGGCGCTTTCAGAGCAGGTGTGTGACGCTGACACGTCCCTTCCCTCCTCCAGACTTGTGTTGCCTGCCGGCAGGCTGAACAGGTTGCTGGGCCCTTTGGGCTCCCACTTTGGGGACTTTCTAGCAGGAGGTGCCCTGACATTGCAAAGTGGAGCTCCGAGCCCAGCAGAGCAGTTTCCTGGCTGTGGTGACAGTGACCGTGGCAGCTCCTCAGCCCTCAGCCTGTGGCTGTGCAGCCGCCTGGCCGACGTGCAGCAGCCTGCTGCACGAGTGCTCAGCTCAGCTGCCAGGTCACAAGGTCACCCGGCCCGGCCTGGGAAAACAGGGGGAGGTGTCACAGCTCTCTGGGGAGAAAGGCACCCAGGGCCCTGGGCAGATGCTGCAATCCCGCCTGCTGTGGGCAGAGGCGGGCAAGGCCGAGGGGGCGGGACAACTCTGCAGGAGAGGAGGAGGCCAGGTGGAGGCCGGGGGGCCTGGGAGTCACCATCGCGTGACTCTGAGCCTTGCTGGGCCCCAGGGGCCTGGAGACCCCGACTGTTCCTTCCTGCCCTGGGGCTGGCAGGGAACCCCAGACTCCAGAGCTCTAGACTGAAGGAGCCATGCGCAGTGGGCGCGGGATGTCCAGCAGGGGCCGAGGATGGGTAGCCTGGCCTGCGCTGGAGGAAGGGGCGGGTGTGTCCTCTCTCTAGGTCCAGACACCCCAAGTGTCTCCCAGAGCCGCAGCCCCCCAAGGACCCAGAGCAGACCCCCCGAGCCAGCAGGGACAGGAGCGCGTCCTCTGCTGCAGATCCGTGAAGCAGTGGGAGAAACCGAAGGGTTCGTGCCTGGGCTGTGAGCATCTTCCCCAAGGGGCCTTGTGGAGAAAGACGGAGCACAGCTACAGCAGCCGCCACCTAAGGAAATGACGGGGTGACGCCACTGGCAAGAGCACACGTAGGGTCTCTGTGCAGCACGGCGGGTTGCGTGGGAAACCCCAGGGTCGTTTCCATGGGTTCCTCGATAAAATGCACGGTGACCTCAGCGTGACCACGGGAAAATTCCAATGGGGACATCGTGCAAGGTCACTGGTCAGGGCTCTTCACCAGGATCAAGGTCACCAAGGACAGAGAAGACCTAGGAGCCATCACAGACTGGGGAAGATGGGTGCGGCATGGGACCGGAATTGTTCCCTGCCACAGAAAGGACACAAGTGGAGAATCGGTGTCTGAAAAAAAAAAAGACCAGATTGAAAATTGTACAGAGCTCATCTGGCCTGGTGGCGCACACCTGTGATCCTAGCAGTTGGGAGCTGAGGCAGGAGGATCCTGGCAAATTCGAGGCCAGCCCTGGCTACATAGTGAAACCCTGTCTCAAAAAAACAACAACAAAAGGCAAAAAATTAAAAGTGGAAGCCGGGGATTTGGCTCAAAGGTTCTGCCGCCTGCCTCGCAAGCGCAAAGACCTGAGTTCGATCCCTGGTACCAAAAACAAAACAAGTGGAAGTGCTGTCTTTCCCAGAACAGCTGTCCATGGGTAAGGCAGCCAGAGCAGTGGACGGTGGGAAGGGTAGACCCAGGCTGGGGAACTGGGCCCAAGCCAGCACCCCGATGTGCTGAGTCTGAGGCTGCTTCCAGACGGGTGGCGTCCACACCTCACCGCTGCTGTAAGGATGGCACGGGTCTGCGCTTGGGGGCGCCGGGGGCCTCCTCCCGCCCCGGTCTACTTGGAACCTCAGAACATAGCCCAACTCGTGCTGGACTGGTGAGGCTGAGCTGGGTCGGGTGGACGCTACAGAGCCTTGGGAGGGACAGACAGGACCCAGAAGTGGGACCCAGGGAACCGCAGGAGAGCTTGGGGTTCTGCCACAGACCCCACCGGGTGCTGGTAGAGAGAGGCAGGGGGGCCCACCCACATCCCGACGGTGGGTGCCGTCTCCAGGCCCTGGAAGACACCGAGTTTGTGGCCTTTGGGTGCTGTACCCCAGGAGCCAGGACTGTGCCTTTCTGAGGGAGGCCGGTTCTGACTCATTGGTGCTGAGCCCTGGGCGCCCCCTCTCCTCTTCAGGCCGTGGGGCTGCTCCTATCCTAGATGCCACCTCCAGGCACAGTGAGGGCTGTTCGGGGGCCGGGCCCCGCCTGCTCCCCCTGTTTGGTTGGCATGGGGCTGCCCACCCGGGGCAGAGCAGGAGACTCACTAACCGCAGGAGGCACCGCCCGGGGCAGAGCCACCGGGGAGCCCAGGGTGGGGCAGAGCCGGCCCCGATGCCCATCCCAGCCAGGCAACCCCTCTGCCCTAGTGCGCTGCTTCTCAACGTGCTGAGTATACCCGGGAAGGTGGGGTACTAGGCACTCGGTGTGGTGTCTGCAGAGCTCAGAGTCCCCTGTGGGGGTCCAGGTCCAGGGGCCCAGGCCAGCAAAGGCCCCTCTTAGTGAGTGTGGGTCCGTCTGCATGTTACTGCCTGCTGGACCTCCCGGCTCCCGCTGGAGGAGGAGGAGGGAGGGGAGGGGAGGCCTGACCCTCTGGGGGTCACTCGCAGCCCTGGGCTCCTGGATTCTGCTCTTGTTCCCTGCAGAGGGGAGGCAGGAGGGGGGTCCCCTGGAAGCTGGGGTGGGGCTCTGTACCCCATTCCTGCTCCCCTTGTGTCTCTGGATGCTCATTTTTTCCACAGTGAGGACCCCACCTGCCCCTCAGCAGCAGCCCCTGCTGCCTCTGCCTGGAAAATTGCGGGCTGGCGGGGTGGGGCGCTGGCCTGGAGGATTAGGGCGTCTCTCAGTGGGCAGGTGGAAGCGGGTGGGGCAGGGTGGTTACTCACTTCCTCAGGAGTCCTGGGAGCTGCAGATTTGGGGCGCCCCAGGCCTCAGGACTGTCTCAGCGCTGGCTCCTGAGCTCTACGCCTCCTGGGTGGGGTCGCCCCGCTCTGTTGGCGTGGCACTCGGGGTGGGGAGCGGCTGAGCCTCCTGGGCTGTCCGGGCCTGTCGGGGGAGGTGGGCCGGCTAGGCAGCCCCAGACACGACCACATTCCTGGGCTGCTGCCTGCGGGTCCCGGGCTAGGGGGCGGGGCAAAAGGCGCCGCTTTGGGAGGTGGGGAGCTGAGGTCCTGGGCTGCGAACTTCTAAGGCAGGGTCAGCTGGATGCACCGATACCCTGTCACCCTGCCCACACCTGGCGACCACTTGGGTCAAACCCACAAGTGTGGGTGCCTGAGCCAGTCCCGCCCCCAGCAGGGCTGCAGCGGGGAGGGTCTGAGAGGAAATCAGGGCTGGGATTGAAAGTCCTCTCAGCCGGGCAGGGTGGCACACACTTGTGATGCCAGCACTTGGGAGGCTGAGGCAGGAGGATCGCTGAGAGTTTGGGGCCAGACTGGGCTACGTAGCAAGTTCAAGGGCAACCTGAATGACACAGCAAGACCCTGTCTCAGAAAACAAACAACAGTTGGGGATTAGCCCAGTGGCACCACGCCTGCCTTACAAGAGCAAAGTCCTGGGTTCCGATCCCTGGTACTGAAAAAAACAAACAAGCAAGCAAACGAACAAATAAACAAAAATCCCAAAAAACAATGAAAGTTCTCCTGTTCGGCTGTTGTCTCAGCCCCTCTAGGGCTCTGTGAGCTGCAGCCCTGCTAGGCAGACTCTGCCACAGTTGGTTACAAACGCTCGGCATGGGCCACCGCGAGCATGAGGGGCAGTCTTCACCCCACTCTGCTGATGAGCAAGGGGACACCTGGGTGTCCACGGAGAGGCAGGAGGGGCTCACCCAGCATGCTGCTCTTTCCTGAGATCCCTGGCTATGCCCCTGGGCACCCCGGGCAGCCCACGCCCTGTCCTTGTCCCGAGGCCTGGCAGGTGTCAGGGTCAGCACAGGGCTGACCGGGTCCGCCTCAGTGAGGAGTTGGGGACACCGGTGTGGTAGACTGGTCCCCGCTGGCCCTTCCTGGGGTTGAGGGTGGCATCAGTCACCTGCAGGGATCACTGGCTGCGGGGACACCTTCAGGTCACCAGGGTCCCGGGAAGACCTTGCTCTGTGACCGGCTGGGCCCCATGTGGGGGTCCCGGGGCCGAGGAGAAGGAAGGTGTAACCTATAGGCCTGCCCTCCCAGTGAATCACACCTGGCGGGAAAAGAAAGCCCCAAACAGCCCAAACAATGAGTTTCCAGTGAAATATGACAGACGCGGTGGGACGGGGGAGGGGCAGGCGCTGCCCGGGAGCTGGCGCTGGCCAGAGGGTGATGAAAGCCCAGGGGAATGGAAAACGCCAGGCCCGCCCCCTCCCCAGCCCATAAAGCCCCACATCCTTCCCTCTCCGGCACCTCCTCTCTCGCTCATTCTGCCACTCGACCGCTGTCGCAGCCTCACCTCCCTGCCGGGCACCATGACCACCTGCAGCCGCCAGTTCGCCTCCTCCAGTTCCATGAAGGGCTCCTGCGGCCTGGGCGGTGGCTCCAGCTCTCTCTCCACCGTGCTGGCCCCCAGCACCTACGGCAGGCTGTCGCTCTCCTCCTCCCGCTTCTCCTCCGGGGGAGCCTGCGGTGGCTTCAGCAGCAGCAGCGGCTTCGGCGGAGGATATGGCGGTGGCCTTGGCGGTGGCTTTCGCAATGTCTTGGGTGGCATCTATGGTAGCGGCTTCACTGGCTTTGACAGTGGCCTTGGCGGTGGCGATGCGCTCCTGGTGGGCAGTGAGAAGGTGACCATGCAGAACCTCAACGACCGCCTGGCCTCCTACCTGGACAAGGTGCGCGCCCTGGAGGAGGCCAACGCCGACCTGGAGGTGAAGATCCGCGACTGGTACCAGAGGCAGCGGCCGGCTGAGACCAAAGACTACAGCCCCTACTTCAAGACCATCGAGGACCTGAAGAGCAAGGTGGGCAGCGCAGGTGGCGCTCGGTCACCCCCCTCTGGGAGCGGCAGGTACCCAGGCCCCTGGCACATCTAGATTTCCAGGCGGGACGAGCTCTGAGCCCTGACTCCTTCTCCTGGGGTCCCAGAGCAGCTGCTGGGGAGAAGATGGTGTCCCCTGCCCACCCCGACCATGTCCTGTACGCCCCACCTCCAGATTCCGCAGACACTAGCTGTCCCTGCCCCCACATGTGTGAGGCAGCAGTTGAGTTGGGGGTGCAGGAGGCAGCTACCTGCTCCAGTGCGGGGGAGGAGCAGGCTGTAACGGGCCGGCGAGACACCCAAACCGCTCGTTAGCTCATTAGTCTGGGCTGTGGCTGCCGCCGCCCAGGAGCCTTGGCATGGGCAGCCAGGCGTCGTAGGAAACCCACAGCCACAATCAGTCACAGCCACGCCCGTGCCCTGGTGAGCTTGTGCCCTCTGCCCGCGCCCTTCACCCCAGGAGCCCTGGCCGAGCCTCGGTGCCGCTGCTGTGCGGGGATTAGGGAAACCGGAAGATGGGGTGCAGGGCCCCCTCTGCTTGCTTTTTGGAATCCCTGGCGCCAGCTGGGTCTTGTCCTTTGGAAAAATCCCACCCGAGGCCACGTGCACTGTGGCCTTGCCAAGAAGCGTGCGGCCGCCTCGGGTGGGGAAGGGAGGATGTGAGGGCGGAGCCCCGAGAAGGCTGCGGTTCTGCAGCAGCCAGGGGCTGGGACCACAACATTGAGTCCGGGGACCTGGGGCCCGGACTCTGTGCCTCCTCTGCCCCTCGTCATTGAAGTTCCCGGTCAGGGGATTCAGGCAAGAGCAGGGCCCCCCAGGCCACGTGGGCTGCAGTGCTGCCCGGCGACTGAGGTCTCTTTCCACTCTGCAGATCCTCACGGCCACCGTGGACAACGCCAATGTCTTGCTGCAGATCGACAACGCCCGCCTGGCCGCAGATGACTTCCGCACCAAGTGAGTTTCAGTGGGGCGCTTTTGGACCCTTGCCCAAACAGAAGTCCCTGGTGCCGAGAGAACCCCTTGGGGTGCTTGTAAAATGTAAGACTCCTGGGCTCCACCTTGGAGTTCTGGATCAGTTATTTTTACTAGGATACCTGGGTGATTCTGACCCACAGCCAGGTTTGGGAAGAGCTTTAGGGAGAGCCCCCCGCCAGGTGAGGTATCTGGAGGCCCGGAGCCTTATTGGCTGGCAGCAGCTAGAGTCGCCTCCCTCCCCAGTCCCGCAGCGCGATGATCGCCTTGTTTCTGGGGCCCCAGGATTGCTCTCGTCTGAGATCAATGGGCACTGTGTCCAGACACAGGCCCTGGGTGCCAGCTCCAGGAGGAAGGTGTGCAGGGAGGAGAACAAAACTTCCTGTGTGGACAGGAAGGGCCTCTCATTCTTTCCCTCCTGGGCCCCAGGTACGAGACGGAGCTGAACC